ATATATATATATATAAATGATAAAAGTGCTTGAATTGGAACATAATGTTATAATCGTATCAAGCATAACACTTCAACTAAAAGCTGCCTTTATCAGTCTTTGGAGGAATTCTATAAGCGCAAATCTAACCCCCGGGCATTTTTCTTTCATACAAAAACAAAAACGGCCTCAATTGAAAAACATATATACTCACCCAAGATTTTCTCCTTCTTTCAAAGTCTGAGGAAGATTTAACCCACGTGTCTCCGGAAGCAATAAAGTAACAAAACCAGCCGCGAATGCTAGGCCTCCAAAGATGAGATAAGGGAGCTGTTCAAGACTGACCCCAATGAAGATGATCTGTGGGGCGATGATTCCACCGAGACTACCAATCATTGACGATAATCCTATTGCAGTATTTCTAGTATTACAAGAGTATAAATATGAAGAAATCACAAAGATCCTTCGAATGACCATGATAATGCGATGTAGGCGAGTATAAAACGATGGACGCGATTTATTTACTTATTTTTCGATTAACAAAACAAAAAAATACCATATTCAATGATTTTACCATGAAATTCAGGTAAAAAAATTTAGTCTTCGGTTTCGTTGGGGGCGTCTGAGTGTTTGACATTCAATTTGGGTTTCGGGCTATAAAGGTTGCGGAACGGAGGATTGCACAATTAATAGCCTACTTACCTAATTGGCGTTGGGTAAATTTCGGCGGCAACTATGTAGATTATTGTGTATGAGGCAGTGATGCTGAACTTTCCAACCATTCCGAGCGTTGCAACCCACATATTATTTGCTACCAAAAAAATATGTAACATTTCATAAGTTTATATTAATAATTACCATACTGATTATAATGCCATCCTAGTGTCTGCAACAGGTATATTAGGCCTATATTATTTATTTTTCGAGAGTTACTTTCTAATGTTCACTGTGACAAAACGAAGGTAAATCCCGGGTATTCAAGACCGAACAGCTCCGAAAATCTATTCAATTTTTATGTTCATTATCAAACAACAATAAATCACATATATCACTTAATTATGTCCGGCTGGGAATAATTTTAAAATTGTATGGTGATTTAATTTATTACAATTAACCTGTCAATTATATTTCTATGTGTAAAAAATAAATGTTTTTTTTTTTGCATTTTTGTACAAATAACAATATAATATATTTAATATTGTGAAAAGAATCAAACATACAAATAAATCATGCAAGTAGTTCGGGTCATGATTACTACAACTGGATGACATCAACAACTACTAATTTTGTTTTTCAATAATGTTATATACTGCAACATTAAGATTCGTTGATAACCTTACATATAAATGAGGTAGTTGCGCAAGCTACTCCAGCAAGTACCAATGTCGCACTTAGAATTATTCGGCGCCCCCAACGTTCAATCGAAATCCAGGCAAGAAACACAGCTGGAATCTCGACAAAACCAGCTAAAGCGTTGGCAGCATATTCGTTCGCTCCAAGATTGACTATGCTCAGAGATATACCGAAGTAAACTAAATCATTGACAAACCTACGAATGAGAAAATGAAAATTAGTTAAGGTTGTGCTGCCAAAATAATTGAAATAATTTGCACAGTGAATGCTCGTACTTGCGAAATGAACAAGAAGATATTAGTGCTCTAAATAAGGCCTCTATCGTTTCATTTTTTATTACTCTCTTTTTAGAAGATGAGGAGGGATGTCTGAAAAGAATATCTTTGTTTCTAACTTGAAAATGAATTCAAAGGGATCATGATTATTACATAATATTTAACCTTTTGTGCAACTGATCACGTAAACTAGTATGTTTTTCAACTTTATTATTATCGGTATTTAATGATGTTCTTGTTATAGTCATGCTATTTATCTTGATAATTGTTTAATTTACCATATAAAAGCAATCGTTAGAAATCGCATTCGAATATTTTTCAGGCGTAATATGTCAACTACTTTGAAATTTGACGAACCTTGAGTCTGCAAAATAAAAATACTTTTGCGAAAGAATAAGTCAATTACATTCTGATCGTTAGTAGTATTAGATGAACGTCTCATGATAACCATTATCATATTTAAGATCATCCCCTCTTTTAAAATCTATAAAACCTTAACACTTTAATTTATATATTGAACTCAATTAAAATGATAAAAGTTTTTGTTCTAATTCTTTCACACTCATGTGCATGCGTATTATTTAAAGGAATGTTATTATTGCCATGCGTCTAGAAAATACCTTATGATTCTAATTTATAAATGATGCATGGCAAACAAAAGAGATCAATATGATACGCCCTTTTCTTATCAGCAATTGACGACAAGACGAGATTTTCGAAGAGATTTTTTTCAAATAAGTATATAATGATATGACCGAGATAAGCTCTAAACTATCTTGCGGTAATGCTAAAATTATATATCAATAAATCGTTAAGAAAGAAGAATGTGCCAGTATAAAATAAAAGATACCCCAAACGTGATTCGAACAAGGGATCTTCTTCTGTCGATCTCTATGATAAAGATAAAACCCTAAATCGGCTTGCAACCATGCTGTGTATAAAAAACATCTTTTTAACTTCATTTTTTTTCTAATGTAAAGCGCAGTGAGGCTTCTAGCAAAGTGCGCCCAATCAAGATCGAAGTATTATTACCTTAATATTCTCTGGCGTAGGATCTTCGTCGTTCTGCCTGCAAAATTGCTTGCAGACATCTAAATTTGCTTGTGGGTCTTTGGTAAACTTGCATGCCTGCTTCAATATTTTTTCTGTGGTTTCCACTTCGTTTACAGCATGGAGCCATCGAGGAGATTCGGGAACAAGCCTAGTTTGAACATAGAATGGTGATTGCTTGTTCGTGTATAATATTAATACTTTTCTGCACACTAGTCTATTTAATTCGATTTAGGTCAAAATCATGGGCTACCGGGAAAAAATTGTTAACACAGCTTTTTTGGTATCAATTGATGTACACGGATGTCCTTTCTAACATGTGAAAACTCTTCAATCCTCCTTCGAGAATTGAATATATATATATATATATA